CGACGGCGTCGGCAGCGTCGCGCCGACGCGCCGCCACGGACCTTGGTAACCCGGCGGCGATCGAGATGGCGAAGGCGCGCGCGATGCAGGCCGCCCAGCAGGAGCGCCCGGTCGGCCTGCTGGAGACCGACCTCGACGAGGCCGTGATCAACACGAACTACGGCAACGGCACGACGACGACGGCGTCGACGCGCGCCGGTCAGACCGCTGCTGCTGCCGCCGCCGCCACCACCGCCGGCAAGAAGACCCGCAGCCTGCTCGACCTCAACCACACCTCGGCGGCGCCGCGGCCGCGGCCAGAGCACGCCCTCCACGTACCCCAGTCGCCCGTCGGCGCTTCGCACAGGAGCCCCCGCGACGACGCCGCCGCGTCCGCCATCCACCAGCGGCCCCACAAGTCCATGGAGTTCCTCCTCGACAAGGAGAACCTGCACTTCGTCAAGGTGAGTCGCGGCGTTCTTCTTCCCCGCGCCTTTCTATCTCTCCGTCTCGGCGGGCACGCTGGAAAGGTCGATCGACGTGTTCTCTTCCTTCGGCGAGAGTTCCACGGGGAGGGAGGCTCGTCTCGAGGGCACGTCGTGAAACCCGCGACGAAGGGAGACGCCGTCGGATCGATCTCGGCGCGAGAAAGACGACAAGGGGGAGGAAGCAAGCGTGTGTGAGATCCGATCGAGCGAGATGCTGCGGACGATCGACGGGACCCTCGTCGAGCGGTGGGATCCGTCCGGGAGTTCCGGAGGGGAAGTTAAGCAGCTGCGGGACCGAGGCGTGTCACGCTCCCGCTTTGGATCGGTTCGCACGCGACAGGTCGGGCGGAAGCGTCTCCGCGGCACGCATCGATCCAAACGTCTCTCGAAGTGCGTGTCGATTATCGATGCCACGTCGGGGAGGTTCGGCGGTTGGTGTACCCTTCCGAGGGTTTCCCTCGCGAGCCGGTCTCGAGAGAATCGTTCGAACGCGCCCTGTGCTGACGCGAAGCACGGTCTCGCGGAGCGCGAGGATCAATTGATCCTCCCCGACGTGGAGAGATCCGCGGACGGACGGAAGGACGATCCGCCGCGCAGCGCGCTTTTGATCGACGTGTTAATTAACCCGCGCTGCGTGTTCTTGACTGCGTCGTTGCGACGGGAATTAGCATTCATTTAATTAACGTCGCGCGTCGCGTGCGACCCGTCAATGTCACCTGCCGCCGATTCGGCGCGTGTGTGTGCGTGTGTCTCCTGTGCGTCCGACGCACGATTCCCTCCATTTCGCGCACAATGTCCTTCAACCAAGCCTGATCGGAAGACACCCGCTCCGATGGATTCCGGAGTAATTCTCCACGCGAATGCTATCTCAGCCTTTGAAAGTCGCTCTACCCCTCTGGCTTTCTCCCCGTCCTTCGATGGGAAGGCGAATTGCTTCCGAATCGCTTTGGAAAAACGATTCCGGCAACTAATTACGTAGAGTCGACGGCGACCACCGCGCGCGGTTCGACTCCGATCTTCGTTCCGATGCGCGGTCGTCCGCGCCTCGTCTCTGTGGTTTTGCGTCTACATCTCCCCGAACCCTCCCGACCCCAAGTACCTTAACGGACAAATCACCGTAACCGCGTTCTGCCGCTCTAATCTCGCCCTTCGGTAGGACGCCGCCGCGAGGGTGGCCTTGTGTATCGACAGGTTGGCTAAATTGAGTTTCGCTCGGCCGGACTCCTTTTAGTCGACGACGGATCGCCGATAACTTCCTTCGATTCTGCTTCTCTGTCTCTCTCTCTCTCTCTCTCACCCGGACTCTGTCGCCCTAGGTATATCGCGGCGAGGATCGATAGAGGCTCCTTCCGCGAGGTGCGACAACGAGTGCTGTAGAATCTCTCTTCCGCATTGGCGTAGTTTCCCCATAAACTCCTCCGTAGAGCACTTCTAAGGGGGCGACTCGAGCCCACGCGATCTTTCCTCGTCGACATCATCGGGAAATTGTCCATGTCCAATTGTCGAGTATCCTTTGACTCTTTAATCCGAGTCTTCCCATGCGTCTCGAGAGACGAGTCCCTTCTTCTACCGCGAAATTCTATTCCTTCGCGCGACTGAAAGAAAACTTGCAGCATTCTTTCGAGAACCGATTTTATTTATTTATTTATTCATTTGTATTCGTTTGTCACGGGAAATGATTCTTCTCTTTTGTATATAATGCTCGTGTTATAATGTTATGCGAAAAATAAGGATAGCAGCAATAATAATATAATATAATATTAAAATGTTGTAAGAGATATACAGAAAGCGAAACTGAAGAAAGAAAAACGAGAGGAAGAAGAGGACGTATAAGTAAAAAGGCAGACTGGTGAAGACTCGGTTAATTGCTTAATAATGAAACGCGTTTGTAAATGGGCAGACATATTGAACATGTTAAGCTAAGTAATGGAAAGAATTGCTAATTGTAGATATAGTTAAATAATTTGAATCTTTCATATAAAGTTCTCTGTCTTTTCTCGTGGACATCGTCTGAGCGATCTTCCGGATATATTAAATCCAGTAACTATTGATTTATATCATTTCTGTTCTCACGCTACTTTATTTCTTCTTATTGCGCAACTAAAGAGTCCTTTTTTCCCACGAATAAATGATCATAAGTGACTTCGCTAATTGCACGTTACGAACAACCGGAAAATCTCGATTTCGCGTTATTTTACACACGGGAAAAAAGAACTAGTCTTAAATGAAGAATAGACATTCTCGTACATAAGCAAGAATATTATAATCTTCGTAGAAGATTATTATCCTTTAATTGAGTCCAAGTTAACCCTGGCATCGATATGAATTCAATCGAGTCAAGATTAAAAGTCTCCTAGAAAGATTGTGATATTTTTGCTCACACATGAGAATATCTATTCTTGATTTAAGACCATATTTCTCTTTTCCGTGCACACTTGCCGTGACGTTAAAGAATAAATAGCAAAATAAATAAATGGATTTACTTAGACTCTCGAGCAGAGCCGTGTCGTTGATCGTCGCACATCGACGTCGTGAGTCGAAGTCGAGAGCAACTCGCGCCGAGCAGAGAGAAGAGACGCTCTTTCTCCCTCTATCTTTCCGTTCGTCCTGCTTTCTCCCCGACGATGGTTCTCGCGATGCTGGCGCGACTCTCTGTGTGTTACCCGTCCGCGAAAGATAGGAGGCATCGATCCCGCCGCATGTTGCACACGTGATATAATTATTGCCGCGGCAACCTCGTTCCGCGGGCATGTTCGTTCCACTCTCGCCCGACTTCGGTCCAGAGGATCGATTTTCCGTTTTGTCGGCCGGCCGCGATGTACAAACTTTGATATTATGCTAAATAAATGTTTGCCGTCTAACCTTTTCAGCGTTTATCGACGGCCGCGCGCTGTGTGATGATGCGCGTACACGTGTGTGTGTGCGCGACAAAAAAAAAACAAACAAAGCAGTCTCACGATATTTAAAATAATCCTTGAATGCTCGCGCGCGTAACGGGCGACACGTCGCGATCACCGCTCTGTTTGAAAACTAATCGAATGAGAGCGAAGTCAGTCGAACCAGACCGGTCTCTCTCCTTCTCTGTCGCACGCTCGTGCTTACTTTCGAGACGCCGTGTACGTGACCTAGCCGAGCGTAAGAGGAAGGTGGCTTTAATAAGGGTCGACGGTCATGGGGTTACGCTTCATAGGACGGTCTCCGCTGGATGATCGGCACACATCGTGGGAGCCGCGTCGATCATTCGTTCCGCGAGCCTCTTAAACGGACACGCGCGCGCGTAATGAAGATCGTTGACCCTGCGCTTCGGCCGGTTCACGCCCTTCCTTTTCACGCGTGCACACGTTTCGATCACCGCTCAATTAACGAGCTACGTGGTGGTCCCCCGGTGTGTACGGCTTTTCGCTCTGACACAGCCGCTGACGGAGCCTATTATTCGCGACGCTGCTGTTCCAGGGCGGACGTTCGTTCCGACACGCATCTCGTTGTCGGAGAAAATCGCGAGCGAATTTTCACGAGCGCGCGCCTCCGAGAAAGAGCGGGAGGAAAGAAGAGCGTGGGAGAGAAGACCGACTCGAGGATTCTTCTCCCCGGAGACGAGCTAAGAGTATTGCGGTGGATATGGTGTGGGGAGAATCGCGCCGACGGTATTTCCAATGCAACGACCTCTTTCGTTGAGCGGCCACTCGTGCCTCCCGAACGGCCGGGAAATTATTCGCACGCGTGCGAGAGCCTTTCCGCTTCTAATGGCGGCGACTCGCACCGAGGAGTCGTCGCGCATCGAGACGTTGCTTCACGGGACACCCGGTAGTCCCTCCTTTCTCCGACGCTCTGAAAATCAGGCCGTCCGCCCGATATCCCTCTTTATCTCGTCGCACTCGTCGCCCATCGTCGTCACCCTTCTTGTTCTATTTCCTCCCTTTCCGTGTATGCTCGTCTCTTCCCCCCCCCCTCTCTCTCTCTCTCTTTCTATCTTACGGTCTCTCTTTTTTTCTCTCCTTTCGTTCCCCTTTGGCCGAGCCTCTCGCCTCCTTCTGCCTGTCGTTACGTAAGGGAAAAAGACAGAGTGAACGCGGGGCGCCTTCCAAGAGGCAGGAATTCGAGGGTAGCGGGCGAAATCACGCGACAGGTCGATAACCTCTCGTGCACATTCTTCCGGAGCCGAGAGAGGGAAGGCTCGACAAAGTGTCGTCGACAAAGAAGACCACCCCGGAGAGGAAGTAGCGCGGCCGGCGGGGAAAATCCTTTGATCGTACTCGGCGCGAATATCTCCGGAGGAGACCGTCTCGACGACGCGGAACGCCGAAGTCGCCGTGACAACAGCGCGGACAGCAGCACTTTCCTTCCAGCCGGAAGTACACGAATTCAGGCTGAAGTACGCACTTATTGACCACTCGAGGAGTATTTTCCCGTCTCGCGTTGCGAGATAATCGATAACCGTTCAGATAAAAATACCACTTGAGCGTGGCACATCCCTCATTTGTCCGTCGAGGTATGCTATCCTTATTGCTGAAGAGGTAGCGATGAAGATACCCGAGATACCGAGGGGAAGAGGGGGTGAGGTCGCGAGTAATTCCGGAAAATTGGATCTCGTTGAGGGGAATTTCGTTCTTCACGGTCGAGATTTCTGCGAAAACTCCGCGGATTGGAGAAAATCGGAGTTTGACTTTCATATCGGAGAGTATAATCCGGAAAAAAAAAACGATGGAAATTCCTTCGAGTACTTCGTTTGCAGACGGCTGGGAAATTTCAAGAGCGATCAGACAGAAAGAGAGAGAGAAAGCGAGCGAAACGGAGCACCGATGAGAATAAATACATAGGGAGATCGTTTGCCCATCACCGTGGCGTAAAAGCGCCCAATTAGTCCGGATGTAGCGCGCGCGCGCAAGCTAATTTCCAGCAATCTGGAGTGCGAGGATTAGCGTGGAGATCCCGAACACGGTCCCGCGAATTTCTGGACCGCGCGCACTGCAAATATC